AACATGAAAGCTTTCCCAACGGTTGCATGCACATGAAGGCTTTTTCTTTCGTTTCAATGGAAGTGTTTATTTTTTCATATCCATATAATTGTTTGAAACAATGTTTATTTGATTATTGTACATATATTGTCCGAAAGTATGAAAGTAAAGTTTGAATATTCTTAACTTTTAAAATAGTTCTAGGCTTAATACGCATAGTTCTCTTAAAAATAGTTTTCTTTACTTATTATAGATAACCGTGAAAAAAACGGTGTGACACACACTACTAGTAATACATTACAGTTTCTCAAAACTTTGAAAATAGTTCTAGGATTAATAGTCTAACTACTATTTAAAAAGGGTATTCTTAATTTATTATTAATAACTTGTAATAGATTACGGTTTCTATGAATTTTAAAAATAGTTCTACGCTATATAAATATATTACTGTTACAAGGGAGTCTTCTATTCTTATAATAAACAACTATGAAAAATAAAACCATATGAAACATACAACTAACAATATAATACTATTTTTTATAAGTTTAAAAACAGTTATAAACTGAAAACCGGACTACTTTTAGAAATAGTAGTCTTAACTAATTATTGATAACTGTGGTAACAAAAACTGTATTTTTAGGTGCAATGGACTACTAATAAAAGATTACCGTTTCTGACAAGTTTAAAAATAGTTCTACCCTTAATTCATAGACAACTGTTACAAAAGAGTCTTTTATTCCCATTAGAAACAACGGTGGAAAAAAAGTCATATGAAACAGACAACTAGCAATAGATAACTGTTTCTAATAAGTTTAAAAATAGTTCTAGACTAAAACATCATACTACTGTTTAAATAGAGTATTCTTATTTTGTTATTGACAACTGTTGCAACAAAAACTGTATTTTGAACTAACACAGACAACTAGTGATATATTACCGTTTCTCGAAACTTTAAAAACAGTTTTAAAGCATAGTAGCTAGACTACTGTTCTGTAGCCAAGAAAAACTCACAGTAGTCTGTGTTTTTTTAACTACTGTGTTTCCATAAACAGTAGTTAATCAACAGTCGTCTGATAATGTTTTTGGCGTAGTGGTTAGAAATGTGTTCAACCCTATGTGTTCCCTGAGGCAGTTTGTCCCTAAGCTTTTATGTCCCCTCTTTACTGCCTATGATGGATTCTGAATGTGTGGTACCCTATGTCATCTCTAAGGCAGTTTGAGGTCCCTTTCTTTACTGCATATGATGGCTTTTCAATGTGTGGTGTTCTCTCTAAGGCACTGTGTTCTCTCTAAGGCAGTTTGTACCTATGTGTTGTCAGAGTCCCTCTCTTTACTGCCTATGATGAATTCTGAATGTGTGGTACCCTATGTGATCTCTGAGGCAGTTTGTCCCATTGGTTTGAGGTCCCTTTCTAAGGCAGTGTGTCCCTTACCAGTTCTTTGAATATACAAATGCAAAGAAAAGACTTTTTATAGTCATATAATGATGGTTTTACATATCACATGTTGTACTACATCATTACAAGCTTCTTACATGTGGTGTACACTTGCACCAAAAAACAAAAAATATTGTGCATTTGGAAACCACATGTATTACCAAAAAAAATATACACAAAAACAACTGCTCTTTTCTCTTTTAGTTGTTCATTTCTGAAATCTGGAGCACCTCTTCATACACTTCAGTACTGACTCCCAAGTTTTGTGGAAGTATTCCTTCCCTGGACAGCCTTTTCTTCCCCATGTGAGGTATCTTGAAATTATTTCCTCCTTTATGCCTCAACACCTCACCCATGACTCCTTGATAGGTTAAGAACACATTGTTTAAAACTTGTGGTGTGAGTTGTTCAAAAGCAGTTGTGACAGCATTTATGAGATCCCCCAATGACCTGTGTGCACTCTTGTTTTGTATTGCATCTATTGCCCTAAAGAATCCAAGGTCAAGAACATTTAAATCTGGGCTATTGGGGGGCTGAAATTGCAACTTAATATCCCAATCACTCTCTTGTGCAGCAGCCACAAAAACTGGGTCATTAATATCAACATGTGGTTTAGCATTATCCTGTTGTATGAAAACATGCTTAGAACTCTGTGGCCATTTTTCCCTTATTGCTGGCAGTAGTTGTTGTACCATCATTTCTCTCATGACATCTCTTGTTATTTTTGGAATGGGCTTTGTTTTCATTGTACCAGCAGACCTATTTTTGCTTGTTCTTTTAGCAGCTTCTTGAAATGTGAATGGGAATATGCCTATTTTCCCATCCCACAATACCTGACCATCATCCCCAAACCTAGGACGGCCTACAGCAACCAAAAACATAATTTTGGGAATATGTGTTTTGGACTATATGGTTCTGTAGGGGTCTGCCTCATCAGGTAAGGTGTAGAAGGTCTTTTTGGGCTTGCTCAACTCAAACCACTTCTCATCAATATGTATATAATCATAACAATGATGGAATGTTGGGTTATTTGGTAGGGATGTGGGAGAAAGTAATGACAAATAATACCTGACCCTTTTTAACTTATCTTCATCACATAGATGAGGTTTAATAGCATTGGAGTGTCTTTTTATTTTTTTCTTCTTCACCAACCTATATGCTGTACTAGTTGACACATTAAGGCAGTGGCTTAGGGCACGTAGCGTTTGCCGCTGGTGAAATGGAATGTCAGTCAGCTTTGAAATGTCTAAATTGAAACCTTTTTGCCTCGAGTTACCCTCCCACCTGCAATCCACATTCACTGCCTGGCCCCTATCCGTTTGAGATTTTGCAGCTTTCCATAGCTCTCTGACCCAACGAGGAGATATGTTGAATTCATTAGCCACTGTTATCGGTGACCCGTGCTGAAGTTTGCCGTTTTTGAAATTTTGTAGTATTGCCTAAATTATTCGCTGCCTTCTTTCGTTTCTTGCTTGCACACCGGAAATACATGCGATGTTGTTTATTTCAGGGGTGTTCAAAGCCTTGAAAGGTACTTCCAACAGTGGAGGCAGGGAGACATCGGCTGAGTCGACATTGGCATCTCCAAAACGAGAGGAAGTTGGAAGAGGTGACGGTTCCATCAATGTTAATTGAAGGCAGACAGATTATATGGATCATTTATTTTCATTCAAGACATGTTTAGGGAGAGATGAATGCATTTAATGCTTTGGTGTATTTATATTGAGAAGTGGTAGTATTAGGTTGAAATATTTGGAGGGCTTTTTAATTTTTTTCCCAAACAAAAAATTTGTAATCTTTCCCTCTTTTGTTATGGTTGCCGTGTGAAATGCAAAGGGTTTTGGTGGAGTCATTTAATGCTTCCACTATTCATGACAAGTTAGTCATTATTATCCTCATTATTTTATTCTCACATTTGCCCACTTTTGCTATGTACCCCACGTGAGTAAGAGGGCAATATGGGAACGTCTTTGCCAAAATATGGGTTCCTTATTTTGGCTAAAAGTCAAAAGAGGAACCCTTTTGGGAAACGGAGGGAGTATAAGGTATGAGAATACATTTTTTTAAACCAAGGGAACACTTTCATTTATTTTATACATGGTAACTTATTTTATACCATAATATTACCATATTATTATTATTATTATTATTTCACATGTTACCTTTTTACTCTCTAACATGTAAAGTCCATGGACGGTACCACATTATTACCATATGCTTTCACATGAGAATACATTTTTTAAACCAAGGCAACACTTTCATTTATTTCATACACGGCAATATATTTTATACATGGTAATAGCACAAAACGAACGTACCTTTTTTAATTTTTTTTATTATTACCTTTCTTAGTGTAATTATTATTATTATTATACGGTACCATAATATTACCACATTATTATTATTATTATTCTTTCACATGCAAAGTCAACGGGGGTACCATATTATTACCATATGAGAGAGTAAATAATTATGAGATTATAGCGTGTGTGAGTAAATAATTATGACATTACCTTATACACGGAACCTACATTTTGCACTTATCATTTCAAATTTTAGCACTTAATAAATAATAAGTAATAATTAAAGTTTCATATGTTATTTTTTTATTACACCGTACCAAAAATTTAAAGGTATGAAATTATCTTATTAATAATTAATAATTAAAGTTTCACATGTTTCCTTAGTTATTACACAGTATTACAAAGTTTAAGGTATGGAATTAGTTTATCAATAAATAATAATTAATAATTACAATTTCACATGTTACTTTTTTTATTACACACAGTACTAATAATAATTACTACATTTATTATTATTATTATTATTATTATTACTATAATTATTATTATTAATATTATTATTATTACTATTATTATTATTATTATTATTATTACACGGTATCATATTATTACCATATATTGTCATTAAAGCTTCACATGTTACCTTTTCTATTATTATTATTATTGTTGTTGTTGTTGTTGTTATTATTATTATTATTATTATTGTTATTATTTATTATTATTATTATTATTATTATTATTACACAGTACTATAATAACTAATAATTATTAATTACTTTATACACAAAACCTACATTTTGCACTTAGCAATTCAAGTTTTAGCACTTACCTTTTTGTGGCTGAAATGTTTAGGTGGGAAAATGCAATGGGAAGTTTCCCTCTTTTTAATTAGAGTATAAATATCTCTTCTTCAAATTTTTATTATTATAAACATGTATGGATTTGAGCCTCTATATATAATGAAAGGGTTCACTACAAACACTTATACTCCTTCCGTCATAAAATAATCTTCCTAGTTTGATTTACAAGGTTTGACTGAAATTATTTTAAATTCAATTTATTTGATTATATGTGTAAAATTAAAAATTAAAAATTATATATTTTAAAACTACATCAAAAGTTCTACAAAACTAAAGGTTGGATGACTATATTATTTTATCAAATAACTAACGAAAATTAGTAAAGAAATTAATTAAACTTTGACCATGTGAATAGTGACTAGGAAGACCATTTTAGGACGGAGGAAGTACAGATCAAAGGAAAATACTTAATGGTGACTATGCTCCTACACACCTTATTGATGTTTGGTGGAGGGGGTTGAGCTATAGTTGAATAAATAACATTCACATTATTTCACTTCATAACACTCCCACTTGAATGTTCATTTTTTAATTAATGTTGTATGGGTAGTTCATGAAATGAACGTATATTGAAAATCATCTGAATTTTATGTACTCCCTCATTAAAAACATTGTCAAGAAAACTCAGTGGGATAAAAACCTGATCAAGGGAAAAAGAATACAGCGCATAAAATTCTCTCCCTCAGCTTAGCATAATTGATAGAAGAGACGCATGTCAATCTTGTCTACGAGCTCTTTAAATCTCTCTGGGAAAATGCCTTGGTAAATAAATTAGTAGGGTTCTCACTTGACTTGAGTTGCTTAATCTCAACCTTTCCATCTTTCTCGAGATCATGAGTTGAAAAAAACTTTGGTGATATGTGCTTTGTTCGGTCTCCTTTGATGTAGCCTCCTTTTACTTGAGCAATGCATGGAGTATTGTCTTCATATATATATGAGTTGGATAGCTAGTGATTTTTTCTATACCGTATTTGCCCTGGATATGTTGGATCATTGATCACAACCATATACATTCTCTACCTATTTCGTAGAGAGCTATCAACTCTGCGTGATTTGATGATCTGACAATCAAGGTTTGCTGCATTGATCTCCATGAAATTGTGGTATCTACATAGGTGAACACATATCCTATTTGAGATTTTTGTTTTTTTGGATAAGACAAATATCCTGCATCAACGTAACCGGCTAGAGTATCATTAGCACCATTGTAGTTAAATAGACTGGGCGATGGTACCGTTAAGATATCAGAAAATGTATTTTATGCCATTCCAATGCCTCCTAGTTGGGGGGGGGGATGAACTGTATTTGGCTAACAAGTTCATTGAGAATGCAATATCTGGTCGAGTATTACTTTCCAGATACATCAAAGCTCCAATAGCACTTAAGTATGGTATTTCTGGACCAAGTATTTCTTCATCATCTTCATGAGGGCAGAACGGATCGTGGTGCACATAAAGAGAATGGGCACCCATCGGAGATGTGAGAGGATGTGCTTTATCCATATAAAACCGCTTCGAAACCTTCTTCATGTAGTTTGATTGGTGGA